AATTTAATATTTTTACTTTGTGGGATAATTATTTGAGCAATCAGTTAGCATCATTATTAAAGCATCTTTTATAATAAAGACTTACAATATAAGGTTTTATAATAAATAGTCTTATTGTGGGTTGTCTTAGATCGAGATATTTGTATGTGATCGTGTTCGGTTAATAGGGAAGACGGAGAATTTATTATTTATTAATTTTGACGTTCTAGATTTTTTTTTTTGAGGTTCTGAATTTTTATTAATTTTATTAACCAAGCGTTTCACTGACGTTTCAATTTTTATGAGTCAAAGTGTTTAAGTAGGGGTCAATTTATATTCCAATAATTTTCTTTACGAAATGTTGTTGCTAAAATCGCAGTGGTTGGAAGATTTTTTTGTTCTGATGCACAGATACTTAATTTTTTTAAGAAATTATCGGAGCATCTGAACTAGCATATTATTCCTATGTATAACGAAACACTAAAATAACTATAGTTATATAGTATACTATAATTACATATTAAACTATATTCGACGAAGTACTAAAATATTTATGCGTATATACTAAACCCTAATCAACAAAATACTAAAATAACTATGTTTATATATATTCAATCATAATCGACGAAGTACTAAAATATTTATACGTACACATTAAAGAATATTTAACAAAGTACTAAAATATTTATACGTACATATTAAAGCATAATCAACAAAGTACTAAAATAACTATATTTATATATTGAATCATAATCGACAAAGTACTAAAATATTTATGCGTATATATTAAAGCATAATCAACAAAGTACTAAAATAACTATATTTACATATTAAATCATAATCAACAAAGTACTAAAATATCCTTATTACATCAACGTGGTTCTTTTGTTCGCGAAGTACATAATCCCCCGCCGAAATGCTAATAATTTTTTAACCGACTGCGCGCAATCGTTCGAGAAGAATTCATAATGAAAAATTCCCGGGCTTCCTGGGACGCGATGAATTACGATCGTGAATAGGCTCTATAATGCATTTCTTTTCTTTTTCTTTTTTCAATTAATGCACGGATTGCAGAAAAGAAAGCCCCGCAAATAAATGATCTATATTAAAGGCGCTGCTCTCTCTCTCTCTCTCTCTCTCTCTCTCTCTCTCTCTCTCTCTCTCTCTCCGCGTGCACACCTATATTTATGAGTTCGCGTGAAGACCACGATGACGTTCGGTACCATTTTCTTTTTTTAAACGTCGGACGAGAACGCGTCCGTGCCGCCGCGATAATTATTCGTCGCTTATTCGTCGATAATGGTAAATTTTGTGTCACGATTGTTTAAAATTTCAATGTATTTGAAATACCCATAGTTCACAGAAAATTCGAAATTATTATTTAACATCAAGAATGTACAATGTTAAACGTGTGTAATTATTACACAATTGTTTGTAAATTTGAAATTATACAAAATTTAAGTATTTAAATTTGTGTCGAGGTTGAAATAATCTTGGAAAATAATTTTCGAAGCGTTTATCAAAATGCGATATTAACGAACGACAAAGTTAATAAAAAAAAGAAAAAATACAAATTTCTAGTCGAAGAATGAAAAAGAATATTTATTAAAATTACTATTAGATTATAATATATAATATTATATTATGTTATTATATTTAATAATTTAATAGTACAATTATAATTATATTATTGATATTAATAATATTAATTATAATATTATTATTATTATTCTATACTATAATATATATTAATATCAATAATATAATTATAACTGTACTATTAAATTATTAAATACAATAATAATAATATATATCATAAAATATTATAAAATATATATTATTAAATATAAATAATAAATATATATGTCAACTATGACAAAACCGGTACATCAAAGGGTCGAAAAGAAATTCAAGAAAAAAAAGAAAGTTCAAAGAAAGTCGACTGAATGAAAGAATTACGTAACGCGATTCAACGAGCCACGCGGAATCCGTAGGGTTCTGGAAACGTTCGATCTTGTCGGCGCCGTGGAAAATTGTTCTCCGCTTAGTCCGTTCGTTCGTTCCGTTTGGTCCTTAAGGGTCTACACGTTATTTTGAATTCCACGGAGCGAGAGGCGGACGAAAAAGTAAACGATGTTACGCGAGCGAGAGAGCTCGTATAAATACTTCGTAACGTACGCGGAAGCCGCGAGGCGACTTCCGGCGCGGCACGTGCTACACCGGAAGCGGGGACAATCTTGTCGTCACTTCGTGAAGCAACGGAGAGCGCCTCGTCGTCTCTGCAACCCCGACCGACCGGC